AGGTTAATGTAATGAAAATTAAGCTTATTTTCAATATACGTACAGAGTATTCGGTAGTTGAAAATGTTTGGAGAGAATATTTTTTTCTGTACACGGACAGACATTAAAATAAATAATAGATATGCGGTCATGAAAAACATTCCTAAAAAAGTGTGATAATATTTACAGAAAACCGTAAAAAAATAGATCAAAAATGTTAGAGTCTACAATTATATTTGAAAGAAGAAAAGAAAAAAATCGGATTCATCGCGTTTAAGATGCATATTAGAAGCGTTGGATCGTCGGTTAAATGAATTTTTTCAGTTCATGTAGTACCCAAATATCGAGTTTTTTACCAGTCCAAGACGTCGTATATGTTAATGCATGAATGATTTTTGATACTTAACTTCTCTCCAATCTCACGTGGCTTGTCTGTGAGTGAAAAACTTTAAGAACATATTTATACATCCTCAAGAATATCCAGTGAAATTTTCGAAGAAAAAAATTAAATATTTTATAAGTTATAGTCGATATCCAACGGCGCGAAAAACCTGTCCTTCACTGCTGCAGTGATTACGGCCTTCTGCGTGGATGAAATCTAAAAAAAAATTCTTGTAATAATAATATTGTCTAAACAATGACCTACGATAAAAAAAAAATCAGAAATTGACAATATGGCGGCGTTTAAAAAAAATAGTTGAATTTTACTCAAAATTCAGGTCGTCTTTGGCCTGCCAAAATTCGATTTTGTGATCTGATCAAAAATCGATAGGTCATTGTAGGGAGAACTATATAAAGAACATGTTAAAAAAATCGATAGTGATCGGATCATTTGTTTTTGAGTAATCACTGCAGCGAATTCGGAGAATGCTGTTTCGAGAAAAACGCTTTTAAAGATAAAACGATCGTTTTCACTCGCAGCTAATGAGACTCTTTAGCTGCCGAGCGAAAGCTCTTTAAATTGCTATTTTTAAAGGTGTAATCTACCGAAATATGAAAAAAGATCTTTTTTTTTTGAAATTTCGCACTAGGTGTCCCCCTTAAGGCCTCATCACCATAAATATAATTGAACTTTTTAGCAACCTGCGCTGCATATTTTCCAAACAAAACAAAAAATGTTCTTGTGTGGGCTCTATATTAAAATTGACGACTAACGAATATATTTAAACAAAATTACGCGTACTTTTTTTCTAAAGCAAACTAAAGTGACAGCTTATGACTGTCAAAAGAAAAAAATATAATTAAATAGTCACACGCTGTTCAAATAAATGGTCAATGCCGTCTGTATGAAAAATCGCCGGTTTCTTTTGTGGCAACACAAAATATTCATACTGTTGCAGTGGAAGACACTAAGATATGAATCATGAATTAGGCATCAGGGGAAGCTGAGGACCTATTCCCGCTCTTTTTTTTTGAATGAGGGGAGTCTGAACTCACTCATCTGGACGGTCGTGGTGAGGTACTTTTTTCTTCCTCTCTTAAAAGTTACGAGAACCTTCTCCCTAACCTTTTAGAACATGTATGAAGATGGACGTATGCAACAAATCGAAAACGATCTCCTATTTTATTTTAGTTTTTGCCAAGGACCCCGTTAACCGCCGAGAGAACTGCAGCGATAACCCGGAATGAATATATTTATTTATTTTTAAGAAATAATATCGCTTTCCAATAAAAATGTTGGCTGCAGTCAACGCCGAAAATTTAAAGACTTTTTTTATTTCCGTAATCAGCGTATCGAAATACGTTAGCGTAGTGGCATTAAATTCTGAGCTTTTAGCTATTCCAAAAAAAATTTTAAATTCATCTGAAGCCCTAAAACGTGATAAGAGCGTAGCTCAAATGTTAGTCATGCGTTTTCAAGATCACGAAATAAACAATATATATATACACACAAGTACATACTTGCAAAAAACAAGATATATATGTATAATTTCAAAATATTTATTAAACTCTCTTTATGTGCCTACAGTAAAACAGACGTGTCGTTAATTAACGAAAATCTAATTATTGTACATACATACATATATTAAATGGTGGTGACTTTTTGTCAAATGGTTATTCATATATACGCTCGAATACTGGAAATTATGAAGACGGAAAGCGAGAGTGCACTTAAATTATTATTGTATTCATTGAACATTCGGCAATCGGTGGAGAGAAAACTCAATAGTTTCAATTAGTATTAATTTCCAAGTGTTCTGTGTGTGAAAAAAAATGCAGTTACTTACATATAAATCAGTAATTTGTATTTGTAAATGTTATAAGTACATGTGAGTCTCTGCGGAAGTGCCATGACGAATGCCCATGGCAAACATATATACTTATATGCATAATATGCTTTGCATATACATATGTGTGTAAAAACAATGTTATATAATAGATTAAAAGTATATATTTTTATCCTCGTATGTACATATGTACGGAAAACTGCTTCCATAAAAAGCTAGCAAATGCGTGGCACTAAATTAACTATTTATAAACGACACTTCGTACATACAGTGACTCGCAGAAATATTCTGCATTTTCCAAATATTCGCAGAAATTCCTAGGTTTTGTTTTGTAGTTTCAAATTTTTCCAGATTTATTTCATAATATTACATATATCCAAGTGGCTAGCATTGTGTACTGCCACTCCGAAGGCCAGGGTTCGAGTCGTGGTGCCACCAATATCCCAAATTATTGAAAATTATTTTTTCTAATTTCGACCGCCACTGGGCAGGGGAGGTAAATCCCTCTGCGTGCAGTAATCGATAGCTTCCAGCAGTACTTTGATATTGACAAAAATTCATTTAAAAATTTATTTTAACGATATTAAATACTCATTAGGGTAACCATTACTTTGGGAAACATAAATACTACATTATAAGATTGTACAAAAATTAGTTGCCATTTCCATCATAAGAGCAGTTTGCAATTAAATTAGTGCTAAATGGTGGAGGTACTTATGAATGAGTAGATTAGGTTAAATTAGCTGACACATTTGGTCTCACATAGACGATAATACATCCACATGCAACCATGCACTGCTACACTCTAGCATTATACATTTTGCTCATAGTTTTCGAAATTTTTCAGCGCTTAGCTCGCTCCCAAAAACGAAGTAGTATTAGTAGTAGTCAGCTACCATGTTGCCTTCAAAGTCCGTGTGATCTGGCATCCAGTAAATGTAAATGATTCTGTTTTTAGAAAGTATTTGAATTGCCTCTTTATATAGTGTAACCACAACTTACTCGGCCAGTATTACACGAACTTGTTAAGTCAGGGGCGTAAGGCAACACAACCCCGTTCATATTGCTCGGTTGGTGAGAGTTGCCTTAAAAGTTACTGCTTTTACAGAAGTTGACCATCCACCCCATTAAAATCCTGCTCCCAGTGACTTTATCTTTTTCTCAAATTAAAAAAGGAGTTACGGGGACGACGATTTTCAGACTACAGTGGTATGACAGCGTCTGTGGAAACCCATTAGAAATCTTAGAACATTTTTTCCATAGTATAAAAAAATTGTATTTCACTTGAGGGAGGATGATTTGAAATATAAAAAGCATAAAATATTTTTCTTAAGTACTTTAGCTCGCGAACTTATCAGCCGTCCGCCGTACAAAATCAAGTTCCATATACTTTTGTGAGTCCCTGTATGTAAACATGAATATAAAATTAAGTGGCTTCTGTACAAAGTTCGTACTGCCAATGATTCATTCTTCCGTAAAATTATGTTTTGTTTTGTTCCTTAATGATTACATGGCGTCGATATTTATTTTATCGCTGTTCTGCGCGACAAACAGGCATGACGCAGTACCCACACTGGCAAAAGTTGCTCGGAGAAATATAATTTTTAATTTCAATACCGAGCCAAAGGCAATGGAAAATCAGTGAAATCGCATAGTAGACTTACATATATACATATGTATCAGACAAAAATGTTTTAAACAGTTTTTAGCTAAAAAAAAAATCAAAATATAGACCATTAAATAAAACTTGAATCAACAAAATTACATGTCCTAAGTAATTCTAATTTATACGATAATACCATACAATAGGATTTAAATACAAGAATATTCTGACTAATCATTTACGTGCGAGTAAAATCACTTTGATAAGGGGCTTTGCGATTCAGAAGTAGGTTTTAACAAATACTGATTTTTCTAAACACTGCTGATATAAGCTTGAAAATATTATTTATTTTCAAGTACTTAATCGCTGGCAATATACATAATAATTATTTATGCTGTGATAAAAAATTATTATTATTATATTATGAACTGATGCTGTGATGCTAGAGTGGGGTCCATAGGAAAGTTTTATGGTAATAATGCTGGAACCATTAATTAAATTATTAATACGCCTTTTGACACCTTTCTTTAAAATCCTAGCTATTCACTTTGTATAAGAATTTTACGGTTTAAAAAGAAATATCTTAATAAGTTATTGATAAATTTTTTCATAAAAAAGCTCACATTTAAATGTTATGTATATTTTGTCAGAGAAAGTGTGTTTTTTTTTGTCAATAATTCTAGCTTTATAATTTTTTCTAAAAAAAAATTGTTTTTGTTAGCGAAATTTGTGAAGTAAAAAAACACTGGAAAATAAGTGTAATTTTTATTTAATCACTAAATTTTTAGTACTGCTCTAAAAACGCTGTCCAGTGTATGCAATTTCGGAAACCAGTTTGAGTATTATTGTGTGGCAAATTTTAATTATATAATATATAATATTATAATATTTCTATTTTTTATGGTATTTATTTGGCGTTCCTAAAAGTGAACTAATTAAAGGCATGTTCAGAATTGTATTATTTTTCAGCTCCATCTGTTTTGTCCAGGCTTTGGATTTTATTATTACCTTTTTTTAGCCGCTGATATTCACAGGGGCAAATATTTTTTCAAAGAATACCAGACATTTGCATTAAATTTCATATTAAGAATTTTCCCCGGAATTCACTTTCCTATTGGGGTGTAGATATTTCTTAAGTCATGCTCATGTAATTGCATTCGTGTGCGTTAAGCGGTGAACAAACCAATAAGAAGCGTGCGTGCACTGAGCTGATGCGTAAATAAAAATGCTGATAAATAGTGTTCCAACGTGCACACATACCAATATATAATAAATGCATAAAGAAATACATTGAGCTGAGTTTGAGGATACCATCTTAAAATTCAATTGATTGACGAACAGTTTGTATTTAGAGCTCAACATACTCAGGAGTATTACGCTTAAGCTGATCGAGCGGCTTTGTACGGCAATATTTTTTTATTGTATTAATTATTTGTTAAAGCACGGAAAGGCATCCTTTGTTCACTTCTATCAAAAGCAAGTTTTGAACTACAAAATAACAGATAAAAAATATGGCACGGCAAAGAGTGCAACTGTTCATATCGCTACATTTACTGGTCCAACTTGCCACATTTTGCAACTGCAACGACTCTCTCAATGGTGGCATCGTCGATAGCAGCTCAATCAATTTGGAGCAGAAGGATAACTACTGCCTACGAAATGTCACCTATTACGAAGAGAGAGGCGTAGATAAGACACGGCAGGTGGAGATCAAGCCAACGGGATATTGGAAATGGTTCAAAAAGAGCAAAACCCAAGTGGAACACTACACGGAAACAGTGCGGGTGCCACATACGCGTCTGCAGAACGATTGCTGTGAGGGTTATGCCATGGTAGCGAATAAGACGTGCCAGCCCGTCTGTGAACCTGGCTGTCCGGCAAACGCCTTCTGTCGAACACCTCAGCGATGTCAGTGCCGTTTTGGCTATGAAGCGGTCAAATCTGCGGTGAATGGCACACACCACTGTATGCCACGTTGTTCATCCGGTTGTCCGTACGGAGGCAAGTGTGTGGCGCCCGAGTTGTGCGAATGCGCACCCGGCTATCAGGCTGGCGCGGGCAGCTGTGCGCCGACTTGCGCCTCGGATTGCCTGGATGGGCGTTGCACCGCGCTGAATAAGTGTACTTGTAATGAAGGTTATGCTAAGGTTTTGGCGAGTGGTGAATGTGTAGCATTAGCTGACTGTGTTCCTGGTCTCGATTGCGAAGAGGAAACCGAAGTTAGTGGCGTCGATGAAACTACTACAGATGAAATTACAGCGACTGCGGCAGACACCACCGAGATGCATGTGGCTTTCACGCGGCAGGATGGTATCCCCGTTTCGAGTGAGAGCCAGGAGGAAAATGAAAATATTGTGCTTTTTCCCAGCGACGAAGAAGCGACAAATTGTACACTTCAGCCCTGCATCGGTGATACTGACTGCAAATTGGCTGGCCGTTGCACATGCGCTGACGGCTTCATACGTCATCAACCGGCGCCAGTGAATGGCGTTGAGGTCGGCCCCATATGCAAAGCGCTAATGGAGCAGAGTGAAATAGTGGATGACCATGACACCGAAGGCAGTTGGGGGCTCACCTTTTTCGTTGTTGTCGGCTCGGCGTTGATGGTCTGTGCTTTCGCGGCATTGTTGGTGAAATTGTGGCTTCATAAGCGTGGTTCAATGAATGTAGTAGGTGAGCGGGAAACGTTTTGGTGAAATTTCTATAAAATTAATTTAAATTTATGATTTTACGTGTTTATTTTACAGGGAAAAACGAAGCGTGCTGTAAGTTTGAGAAAAATAGTACGAGCTCAGATAGCGGTCATGTGGACATGTGTTGAGCCTTGATTGTGTCGCCATGCACCAACAACGTGGGAATATAGTTAGACTGCATTATTTTTACTCTCTAGTCTTAAGTAAGTTGATTTTTTGTCATAATATTTTCTTAGTTAATAAAAACCATGTAATAAATGAATTTAAAGTATATTGACAAATTTATATTTGAGTAAGTTTTTAAATAACTTCTTTTTTACTCATGAACTACAATAAATAAGTGTGTATTTCTTCTCGTGAGCTGATAACGTTATTAGGCAAGGATCAAATGATCTTTATAAGTATAAACATGTGATGTTGTAAAAAAGTGAATACTGTAATCTTTTAAACATGAATGCGAGTATATGAAAGTGGTCTTATTGGGAATTTCAAGAGGAAAAAATTCCTGTGGAAATTTTGATAGAAAACGTGAAGCATTCGTTCGTTCACTTCAAATTCCCATTAACTCCGAATATCAGTCATAATTTTCGAAACATTTTTATTAAGTAGCGAGCAGAGGTGTATATTTATTAATTTTAGGAAGTTTTAAATAAGAATACCTTAAAAGCAATATTCAATAGATCTCGGATCAAGTGCCTTTGAACCACTCTAGGAAAATATGGTTTAGCCAGTGGAACCCATTAGAGTTTTATACCTTATGATAGCCATGATTATTTGTTGTTGTAATATTCTTATAAAGCAACATAAATATCTAAAGTTATTAAATTTATATTATATATAAATTTTTCCATGAATTATATTATCAAACTTAAAGATTTGTAAAGTGGTTAATGCTCAAAGTCATAACAAATTTAATTGATATAAACATATATATTTTTTAATTTGATATTTTATAACAAAAATGATGCTTTGTGTGAGAAACCATTAGGTTTTAAAGATTTATGCATATATTATCGGTATACAATTTCTTAACAAACAACAGAAAAGGAAATCATATTTAGGTTCTCATTCATTTGTTTCAAAAGTGGATATTAATACTACATTTTAAAAATGAGGGGATTGACAAAAGTTAGATCAGTTAGTGACTTTAATTTTTTTTTGTTAAATCTAAAATTACCAGATCCTTTGCAATTACTTTGTTAGTCTTCCCTTTAAATTTTAGAACGTTAAGCTAAAGATGAGAAAATCCAAGAAAGCTGAGAATAGGTCAGACGAAATTCCATTACCAAAGCAAACAGAATCTCGCCATGCGATTCTCTTCCGTTTTCGGCATAATTTAAAGCCAATGCAAAAAATTATTGAATGCCAAACTGCACATGGAACGATTACACCGTCTTTAAAGAATATTCATAAGTGATTCCGAAGACTCTGGACCGGATATTTTTCGTAAAGGACAAGTTCCGAGAACGCCGATCAAAATCTTACATTCATGAAGTCACTGCAGCTCTGGTGAAATCAAAAATTGACAAATAGTAACGATTGCTAAAATAAATGATTGCTAGTGAATTGGGCTTAAATGCCATGGTTGCACTGTTAATATTATGCAGTCATCTGGGATACACGAACAAAACTGCTCTATTTGTATCATGAATTGTAAATAAGACCCAAAAAGAGACTCGAGTGCATTTTGCTTAATTTTTCCTAAACAAATTCGCAAATGGTCAGTCTAGCAACTTAAGTAATGGCTTTACAGGTGACGAATCTTTGTTTTATAAGTACGATCCAGAAACCAAGCAGCAGTCCATGGTATGGTGTGCAACAGAAGCAAGCCCACCCGTAAAATCTAAGCAGCAAAAATCAGCTGTAAAAGTAATGATGTGACTTTACTTCACACAATCTAAAATCATAGCTACTATGCCACTGGAAAAGGGTCAGACGGTAACTGCAAAATGATATACCGAAAAGTGCTTACCAAAAGATTTCAAAAATTTGTAGGAAAGCAAGAAGAAAAATGTTTTGCAGCGCTACTTTTCAAATCATGACAACGCGTTATCCCACACTGCTGAAATAACGAATAAATTTATTGTAATCTCTGGGATCGAAGAAATACTTCTAGCACCATATTCTCCAGATATGATACCTTGTGATTTCTGGTTATTTCCAAATTAAAAAATATGGAAGGGAAAGTCTTCAATAGCTACGAGGAGATAATTAATGCGGCTAATACTGAACTTGATAAGTTTAAAAAGAAAAAAAATTTTGGACTGTTTTCAGAAGTGGATTTATAAAAATGCCTTGAAATCTATGGCGGTTATGTAGAGAAGATAAAAAAGGGCAACATTTGTTTATTTTTGTTTTATTCTTGTCAACTAACCGATTTTTTTTGTTAATCCCCTCGTACATATGAGTAAATTTTAACTCATTATTGTTAAACGCTGTCAGTCTCAAACCCATATGCGCTAGTATCTTTATGGATATATTGTACTTGCATTTCATGATTTCACTAATCACCACAAGACCTCTTCTACTGAAATAGATGAAATAATCTCAAATATGTTAAACATAATCCTATAATACTTACTTCGAAAAGATCATAAAAAAACTTGTTTATGTCGCGGAGCAGAGATAGTGTTAGTATAAAGAGAAAAAAACTCGGTAGGAAATTTTTTTTTTTTTTTGTGCAACTCAGAATACCGAAAATAAAAATGAAAAATTAAAAAAAGGAAAGTAAAGAACAGAATCCAGAATTCATTGGAAAAATTATTAGTTAAATATTAAAAAAATAAAAGTTTTGCGAGCAGGTAAGCCTGCTTATACAATTCCAAAATTTAACAGATTAAATAATTTTTTGTGTTGTTTAGCACCTAAACATATTCATAATATTATAAATATTAAAATTTTATTTTGTGAACTCAAGCGATATTTCAATACACATTTCTTTTCCACGGGGTCGCCTTGATACTATCTCTTAGTGCTAAAGGCACACACAAACAGAAAGATAAGTAATTATTAATTCCCTGCAACAAGTGATAGAGCAACAAAAATACATTTATCTCTGGTTTTTTATATATTATGTCGCCGAAACATACATAAATACATATGTTTATGTTTGTACGTGTATGCAGACAATGTACAAACAAGAGTTGGGGACGGCTACCTGCATGCATTTGTTATAGCATAATGCGTAAACCGAAAGAGAAAAATGTACATATTCGATGCCTGACATATATTTCTACAGTTGCCTGCCATGTCTATTACATACAAACATACATACATCTTCTTGCTACACATAATAGTGTGATAATCCGGTTATTTATTGTATATTCCTTATTATATAGCCATTGATTTGGTTGTACAAATATTGTTTTTTTGTACTCTTTTGTTTGAAAAAGGATTTTTATATGGAACGATTCTTTAAAGAAACTGTAAAGTGGCTAATATTCCAAACTAAACAATATTAAAATAACAACGTTTTTTACACATTCTAGTTTGGCAGGGTTTATAGTTTGGCTTTGGACTTGCACGCAAAAAGCGACCTTTTTTATTGATTTGGAAGTCATTTGCATGCTGTCATCGGATCATATTAAGCAATGAAACCAATCAGCCAACAGCAACCGTCGCATTATTGTTCCTTCAGCAAATATAATGTATTTGAACTTTATCACAGTCAGTTAACAGTGTAGAGGCTCAAGAATTTTCCCGCTGTAAGGCAGGACTATCGTAAGAAGCGACGAAAAAGTTCTCGGCACAGTCGGGTCTTTTGACCGGAATGGCTTGGATATTTATTCTACCAAGGACTGTCACTCCTGCAACATTTCTCAAAAACTACTTTGTGGAAAGTTTTTGGGGGCTACAGTTCCAGTTTTTTACAAAGTCCGGCATAAAAAGCACAATAAGAGCAGTTGACCGCAGTCATATTGCTCCATCATTAAACAATATTGAACTTATTCTTAATTTTTTAATTAAATAGAAAGAGGTTCCATATTATCAATTTCGAAGTAGCAAGTTTTGCTGTATGTATGAGCCAATGCAGTTTATAAATATTTTGTTTCTAAGGTGTGCATTGGTGTTTCACTTGCGACTAACGTGGGCATTCATTCGTCAGCACACTTATATGTATGTACAACAGCAGAGAGAACCTTGCCTTTTTGATGGTAAAGGTTATCCTTTAGTGCCGTTGGATTCTAACATCAGTTGAAGAACCTAAATAATCCTAAGAACTGAAGTACAACAAACTAAATGATTATGCCAATATACAGGTATAGTTCCTTAATTCTAAAAGAACCAATGTTAGCAAAAACTGCTGATTTCTGTTTACATTTCATTGTTCACCATAGGTGTGTGGAGAAAAGTACAACAAACTGAAGCTTTATGTTTTATCAAGATAGACGAAGAATACCAATTAAAGTCTCTCTTGACAAAAATCTTGATAAATTATCAATTAATTTGTCAAGTGCACAGAATAGGACTGTTAGTTTATAGAAGTAAAAATGCATATATAGCTTGTTGTTGTTGCTGGACTGTTAGTTTATAGAAGTAAAAATACATATATAGCTTGTTGTTGTTACTGGACTGTTAGTTTATAGAAGTAAAAATACATATATAGCTTGTTGTTGTTACACATTTTTGGTATGAGGCCTACCCAAAAAAGTTTAAAACCACCAGCACTCTTATGATTAAAAACAGTGAGGTTTTTCGGCTATAATGTGGGGCCAGTTTAACTAAGAGATGACGGCAAATTTCACAAGTCGAACGAAAATTTAACGAATATAGATCGTCTTAAGTGACAAGAAGGTGAACTTATGAAGTACCCAAAATAGTCCTGTAATTATGGAGTAGATATCGACCACCAAATTGGCTGTTTGGCTTAAATATGAGTAAGCTCTAACTTTGAAATCTACTGTAAGTCTCCGTCTATTTTTTTAGATTGTCGAGTATTACTTCTGTTTGCTACCTTCTCATTATCGCCCGAGTCGGCCTATCTTGTTGTCTTTGTCTTCAACTGTCTCTCGAAAAGCTCACGTTATGATCTATTTCAACGTTGTGAAGAAGGTAGTTTGCATTCTCTCCACTGCTGATTTGCTGTGAGATCTCAAAAGGAAAAAGTGCAAGTCGAGTAGAAAACCGTTTGGAAATCATCACAGAGAGGGATGCGCCCTATCTTATCGAGTCGATACCAGAAACCTGTCATAACTTGATCTATTTGGTTACGATATTTTCGATCTGGTGACAGCAATATATACGGATGAGTTTTTTGTTTGGGAATCATTG